GTATCCATTTCTTTCTGGTGTGAGGCGCTTGCAATATGTGAGGTACCGAAAAACTGCAAGCAAAGCATCATCAAAGGCTAGCATGTGTTGCAATATGAACATTAGTGAAACGGACGGTGTTGACCAAGTGATTAAGTCATAAACTTGCAATATGGGTGTCCCGGGTTTGAACCGTTCAAACGCCGCCCGTCGTTCCTATTTCTGTATTTTCCCAGACAGCCGCGGCCCCCTTCCTGAATGTTGACTCTACATTCAAAAAAAATAAAAGTAAGAAAATGGAAAATTCCTTGGATAACGTGTTCTTCTTTGATGCACAGTGATTCCATATTTGTGCGCTTCTCAGGTTGGTTTGTAGATACAATCGAACGACATAATCACATTCGTGGAGAAGGAATTCAATCGCAGAACCTTCTTATGGGTTTTACTCATCCAGAAAAGTTTTCTCATGTGAAAGTGCAAATGCGGTTAATCTGATGCCACCAATATATGGCGAAATAAGCTATGCATGAGTCATTGGTGCTTCTTGCATGGCTGACGTTCACGTGTGGAAAAAAAACTGAAAGGTAATTTGTATGTATCACGAATTCAGGGCAGTGCGTATCCATGTCACTGAAACACAGTCACGAGGTATCTTAAAATCCGATATGATATGCACTGAGGGAGTCAATCTGAGACCGGCCTACAACAGCGTGTTATAAATGAACCCTGCACGGTCCTTGCGGGGCAATCACATCAGACAATCGATATCGTCGATCCTTGTTCCATGCTAACAGTTCTCCGCATCTACCCGAAACATATTGGCGGTTGGGAAATGGAATGTGGTACACGATCTCATTTTGAATTGCATGCATCTATGTAATAAGTCGACTTGAACGGCACGTGGCGTGAAACTCGTGTGGTGTTGATCTAACCGACTACTTAACTCTCCTCAATACACTTTCAATTACGCACTTCCATTTCACTCATCAGGTGCAACTGAAGATTAAGAGAGAGGAGATCACAACGGAATTCAGCACACAACACTTTTCAGGGCGGTATGATTTATCAGAGATCAAATTACATCCAACCCACCGCGGAATATCTCACTGTGTTTATGGCCATATCCTGTTTAGGTTTCTACTCAGTAGCTTTATCATCACTCGGAAGGCAGCATAAAAAATGAGGGTACACTTGTGGTAATAATCTCAGTACCTGCTCGTGATTTTGATTCCGGTTGTGCTGGGAAATTTTGGCTAAGGAGTCCTACACATCATATCCAATGGGTGCCGATGATCAGTCTGTATAAGCCATCCAACCCGTAGCCTTTTTTCATTAGTTCAAACTGCATACTGTTTCAGATAATATCGGGTTTCCTACCACTAATTGCAGTCTTCACATACTTATATTTTTTGTACAGCTGGCTTGTCTCAAACACATTCCGGTATTGACAAAGTATTGAATATCAGTTCTCGTAGCTCAGGTGAACTGAAATCTATTTTACCCGTTCGCCGAATTTAGCGATTTGCTTGCAAATCTTTGATCACTAGCCAAAGTGACATTGTCAGTCCGTATGAAGTGGTGGTGTTTTGCTTGCACTCGTTTGTTTATATATGTATTCTTCTTCACCGACTATTTTTACCCCTTATTCTTTCTGTGTTTCACTCGGTTCGCCGTTGAACTGGTGCAAGAGGGTGAGGGGAGGTCTTCCATCCTGAGTGCAGTTTTAGTTCGTTCTCAGATCATGACGTAACCAGTTTCGTTGCGTTCTTTGATCCTTAAATTGCATTCAATGTGTCATTTTATTGATTGAGGAGCGCGACCTATCGGCAATTCTTTGGCGTGTTTTGACTGGGCTTGAACGATGGTTTTTACCGACTCGAAGTCAGATTGATGTGCTTATTGATCTTCGTGTAGGGGCATGAATAATAGTGAGTCGTGCCTCCTGACTGCCGATTGATGTTCAGGATTCAACGGTGAATCGCGAACAACATGGTGAGAAAAAGAACACAAATAATTGGTGGAGAAGAGCACATAAACGAACGGGTACAAGCTGAACATTGACAATGCACACGATCTGACGATATCAACTCGGCTGGTGATGAAACGTTTGCAAGCAATTAACCAAGCTCGGCGAACCGGCGAAGTGAACATTCCGATACACTATTGTTATTATTAATGTGACTATTACTATTGTTGTTGTCTTCTATGTCTCCATAATTATTGTTAGAAATATTTTTTCGAAGCTATCGAGAGTGGAGGTTGACTATCACCGTGAGATAGGACAATCCTTGAGTGGGGGGAACGAAACTGGAAGAAAGCTTCAATCAGCGTGGCAACTGCAAATTTTGACCCAGTTTACTTCATCCAATGGCACTGAGTTTTCTTCTATTTACATCGATTATGGTTCCTTCAATGCGCTATTCTGTTACTCTTCTCTTCCTACTCCCAGGAATTTCATTGCTTCCAATTTTGCGGATGTTATTTTAGTTGGTTGCATATCCCCATTTTGAGGACAACCCGAATGGATTTCTCAATTCGCCTCGGTCCCGATCTCTTGTATCTAACATCAATCAATGTATCTATGTAGCCTTTAGTCCTGAAACTGGTCCCCGCTGTCTTTCATTGGTAAGTAATCTCCATGATCTTATAGCCAATGGTCAAAACATCCCCTAATTTGATTTCAATAAATAACTCGGTATCACCTTCACCCATGAACTGTCCTGGTTTGTTTGTGTTGTTAGCATTTCTACACGAATTGAACATCTGGCATTTTATACATACAAGCTAAGAAAACTATCCGTTTCACAACCTTAGCCCTAACTTCCTGGTTGTTTTTAGCTTTCCACACTGGTTAAATATTGAACCTTAATATTTAACATTGGTTAAAAAGGAAAATAATCATTCCTGTTCTCCAGATTGCTTAAACTTTTGTCCCCAAACGGTGGTATTGATTTAATAGTTTTGGTTGGATTTTTGTGTCCAAGCATTTGTCAGGCTTGCACCATCTATATTGGCAGGATAGTTCGTGATCAAGGGCCTTGTCTGTATTCCGAAACCGAGAAAGCCGAGTAAAATCCACGAACTTGCTCCTGTAATTTCTCATACTGAGATTGTGTAATTCCAT